CCGCCTGTCATTGGTGGCCTGGGCTGTGCAGAGGGAGGGCATTGGCTGGCGGGGATGACTTGTGCCTGCAGCGGCACTCAGTGCAGAAAGCCAGGTGCTGGGGGTGAGGGGCGGGGGGAAAGGCAGTCCGATGGCTCTGCGCAGCTTGGGGAGGTGGCCCCGGGAATGCACACAACGGGCCAGGCATGCGGCTGGCTAGTCAGCGCTTGTGCGGGTGCACACAGTTGGGGGGAATCTGAGCAGCGGAGGAGCTTGGGTCCAGCCAGGGCTCCAGCTATTACCTGACTGAGAGCTGGGACAGAGACAGGGCTGTGAGTATCAAGCTGACTGTCAGGAAAGAGATGGTGCCATTGCCCCTTGTGTCTAGATGAGACATTGGGCCCACGTGGTGGATGGAACAGTTGTACTCAGAAGGTTTAACATGCCCAAGAGTGAGGTGCATGGCTCCTGCTAGGACAGGAAGGGTGCCAGACTCAGGTGTTGGAACCTAGTGGCATTAAAGTGACTTGTGCACTCATCACAGGACTTTGCTGGATACAGCTATGTGGTCAAGTGGATCACTGCCCCTTTATGTATCCCAGCTCTACTTCACCAGTTTGTACTGTCTATATTCCCCACCCCTTTGTCTATATTCATGTTTGCCTTTTTCCTTCTTTTGTTGGATCTCAGTGGAAATCAGTGGAAGCTACAAACAGAAGCAAGATTGCAGAATAATAGCTGAGGTGGAGTGTAAATGCCTATGTGGAGATACATTTTGTCCTTGATACGAAAGGCCCTTATCTTATGATTCAGAAATCTACGGCCATAATTCTAGCCCAATCTAATCTTTGGGTCTGATTCACCAGTCATTAGAGTGCTGTGATGCAGGTGAGGTCCGTGAAGTTACACTTGTTCAAAACCAGCGTGGAGAGAATCTGCATTTATACTGCTGCCATCAAAGGGTTAGATCAGTTACTCACTAGCCCATAACAGGCTGATGAGGTGAGATGTTTGCAAGTTCTGGCTACAGTTTGGAAAACAGGGTAAAATTAAGGTCTTGCGATAAGTGCATGAATTTAGCGTAGACATTAAAATTCAGAGCTTTTTTATCTGAAAACAACAGCTACCACACTTGATGTGAAAGATAATCTGTATCAACTGCTCTTTGTAGTAGATCATGTGGTATGTATTAGTGCAGTCGTCTGTCCCCATATTGATGGAGTACACATCACCTCAAGATGGAATGCAGAGATAAAATTTCTTGATACTTTAAATGACTGCTTCTTGGAACAGCTGGTTCTGGAACCTACAAGGGGAGAGGCTATTCTTAATTGAGTCCTAAATGGAGTGTAGGATCTGGTCCAAGAGGTAAATATAACTGGACCACTTGGAAATAGTGACCATAATGTAATAAAATTTAACATTCCTGTGGTGGGAAAAACACCTCTGCAGCCCAACACTGGCATTTAATTTCAGAAAGGGGAACTACACAAAAATGAGGAAGTTAGTTAAACAGAAATTAAAAGGTACAGTGACAAAAATAAAATCTCTGCAAGCTGCATGGAGACTTTTCAAAGACACCATAATAGAGGCCCAACTTAAATGTATACCCCACATTAAAAAACACAGTAAGAGAATCAAAAAAGTGCCACTGTGGCTTAACAACCAAGTAAAAGAGGCAGCGACAGATAAAAAGGCATCTTTTAAAAAGTGGAAGTCAAATCCTAGTGAGGAAAATAGAAAGGAGCATAAACTTTGTCAAATTAAGTGTAAAAATATAATAAGAAAAGCCAAAAAGAAGTTTGAAGAACAGCTAGCCAAAAACTCAAAAAGTAATAGCAAAATGTTTTTTAAGTGTATCAGAAGCAGGAAGCCTGCTAAACAACCAGTGCAGCCCTTGCACGATCGAGATGCTAAAAGAGCACTCAAAGTTGATAAAGTCGTTGTGGAGAAGCTAAATGAATTCCTTGCTTCAGTCTTCACAGCTGAGGATACTGGGAAGATTCCCAAACCTGAGCCATTCTTTTTAGGTGACAATTCTGAGGAATTGTCCCAGATTGAAGTGTCATTAGAGGAGATTATAGAACAAATTGATAAACTTAACAGTAACAAGTCACCGGGACCAGATGGCATTCACCCAAGAATTCTGAAAGAACTCAAATGAAATTGCAGAACTATTAACTGTGGTTTGTAACCTATCCTCTAAATCAGTTTCCATACCTAATGACTGGAAGATAGCTAACGTGACGTCAGTATTTAAAGGGGGCTTTAGAGATTCTTAGCGGGGGTCAACAAATATGTGGACAAGGAGGATCCTGTGGATATAGTATACTTAGATTTCCAGAAAGTCTTTGACAAGGTTCCTCACCAAAGGCTCATAATAAGTTGTCATGGGATAAGAGGGAAGGTCCTTTCATGGATTGATAACTGGTTAAAAGAAAAAAAAAAAAGATAGGAATAAATGATCAGTTTTCAGAGTGGAGAGAGGTAACTAGTGGGGTCCCCCAAGAGTCTGTCCTGGAACCAATCCTATTCAACTTATTTATAAATGATTTGGAAAAAGGGGTAAACAGTGAGGTGGCAAAATTAGCAGATGATACCAAACTGCTCAAGATAGTTAAGATCTAAGCAGGCTGTGAAGAACTTCAGAAAGATCTCACCAAACTAAGTGATTGGGCAACAAAATGGCAAATGAAATTTAATGTTGATAAATGTAAAGTAATGCACATTGGAAAAAATAACCCCAACTATACATAAAATATGATGGGGGCTAATTTAGCTACAACTACTCAGGAGAAAGATCTTGGAATCATTGTGGATATTCTCTGAAAACATCTACTCAAGTGTGCAGCAGCAGTCAAAAAAGAAAATAGAACGTTAGGAATAATTTAAAAAGGGATAGAGAATAAGACAGAGAACATCTTTTTTGACTCTATATGAAACCATGGTATGCCCACATCTTGACTATTGTGTACAGATGCGGTCGCCTCATCTCAAAAAAGATATATTGGCATTGGAAGAGGTTCAGAAAAGGGCAACAAAAATGATTAGGGGTTTGGAATGGTTCCCATATGAAGAGAAATTAAAAAGACTTGGACTTTTCATCTTAGAAAAGAGGAGACTAAGGGGGGATATGATAAAGGTCTACAAAATCATGACTGGTGTGAAAAAAATGAGTAAGGAAAAGTTATGTACTTATTCCAAAATATATAAGAGCTAGGGGTCACCACATGAAATTAATGGCCTCAGGTTTAAAACAAACAAAAGGAAGTTTCTCTTCACTCAGCGCACAGTCCACCTCTGGAACTCCTTGCCAGAGGATGTGGTAAAGGCTAGGACTTTAACAGGGTTCAAAAAAGAGCTAGATGGATTCATGAAGGTTAGGTCCATCAATGGCTATTAGCCAGGATGGGTAGGAATGGTGTCCCTAGTCTCTATTTGTCTGTAAATGGGTGACAGGAAAGGGATCACATGAGGATTACCTATTGTGTTCCCTCCTTCTGGGGCATCTGGTATTGGCCACTGTCAGCAGACAGGATACTGAGCTAGATGGACCATTGGTTTGATTCAGTATGGCCGTTCTTATGTTAAATCCTTTTGAAGTTGTAATGCTGTTCTGTGGCTAACTTCTATAGGATACTTGAGTGATACTATCATTTTCTTCCATGGTCCTAGCCCTCGTTGGCTTGGATGGGTTGGAATTCTGCACTTTAAGTACAGTTGTATAATTTGTTTCAAGACATTGTGTAATGGGTTTTGTAACTCAGTCAAGCATTTCCTATATTAGCCCAGGTTGTTTCCTTGGGCTTTGGAAACTGGCATTCTGTAATTGGTCTGTGCTAACTTCATGAGTTTGTGGTGTGGTGAATGGATGTGGAGATCCCCTCTCTGGTATTTTTATGCTTTTCTTTTTTCTCTCCGATTCTTAGGGTTATACTTTTTTTTAATAGTTCATCTGAAATTTTTAAAAAGCTTTTACTCTAGAGTTGGAACAGGACATTAAATAGCGTGATGTCTGTGCCCCTCTTCTGGGCTCTAAGGACTAGAGAAAGCAGACTTCGACTGGATACTGCAGAAAGGATACTGGTAAATTACCCTTTTACTGGGAAATCTTTGTTTAGTAAATATGTGAGCTGCTGCAAGCATAGAAGTTTGCCCTTAGCTCGTCTGCTCAAATACTAAGTTATAAAGCAATGTGCTCAAATACTAAGTTATAAAGCAATGTATTAATTCCACTGAAACCCAATAGGCAAAATTACAACATGGAGTAAAATATCACAGCTGTAAACTATAAATATTAAAGTTATAAACACCTGAAAATTGGCCTTACCAAAGGAGTTTCTAGTGTAAACTCCCACAGTATGCATTGCAGTATTCTGATATGTAGTTGGTCCAGAGAGCAAAGGTTGATGTAATAGAGACATTCCCAGATTCTTGTTGGCTAGAGCTATGGGAAATGAGATTTGCTGAGACTGCAGAATTTGAAAGCCCAGAACTGATGGGTAAGCATTGGGCCTCGCAGCAAATGTATAAATAAAACCTGCTCTATTCTGGGAACCCCTTGTAGACCAATACCTAGAAATGTTAATGATTATTGAGTTAGCACTTCAGGGTAAATACAGGCAGCCCTCACCCTTCACGGTTTCGGTATCCACAGTTTTGTATATTTGCAGTGCACTGTGCCACACCAGTCCAAGCACATGATGCAGCGTGATGACACTTTTTCAGTGCGCTCTAGTATCAGAGCCATACCAGGGAATTTGTCTGGGAATATGATACTGACACACATAATCACAGAGATAAATACGTTGTGAATTACAATCCATCACAGTTGTATGTGGTCACTGCCCAAAACTGGAAGTGGGTGGGAAAACGTGGTGGTTCTGTGTTGGGAATACCCCTGCCTCCAGCATTTGTGGATTTTGTCATTCGCATCTCAAGAACATATCCCCCACAAATGGCAAGGGCTTTCTGTAATTAGAGGAGGGGAGGCTGGTACTGCTAAACCCATATGCATTGGACTTTGCGATAGAGAGGTGGGAAGAAGAACATGAATGAATATGAAGGAAAATGGTTTTAACTTTAGTTGGTTATTGACTTGCAGATTCAAGATCCTGACTAATGCACTAGTGTAGCTACATCAACAGTTCTCAAACTATGGGTCGTGACACCATTTTAATGGACTCGCCAGGGCTGATTTAGACCTGACAAAACCCATGCCCCACTGCCCAGGGCCAAAGGTGATGACCAAGGGTGTCGGGACTCAGCCCTGATTGAGCCTGAAGTCCTTGGGCCTTTGGCCCCCCTGCCGAGGTCAGTGTGGCTCAGGCTGTGATTTTGGCTCTGCCACCCAGGGCAGTGGGTCTCAGGCAAGCTCAGACTTCAAGTCCCCCCCTCCCGAGGTTTGTTACAATTTTTGTTGTCAGAGTGGAGTCACGGTTCAATTAAGTCTGAGAACCCCTGAGCTACACGGACGATACTTTGCTGGTGCAAATTTCTGGTATATATCTCACGCAGGACTACAGTGCACTAGTGTACGCCTGATTTTATGTTTGCACTAGGGGTTTGTATCAGTGTGACTACACTGGTACAGTTACACAGATGCACATTTTCCTTGTCTAGACAAGCCCTTAGATTTTTGCGGCGAGGGGGAGAGGGAGGGAGGAGAAGCAGTTTATTTTGGTCGTTGGCAAAAAAAGCAAAATTCTTTCTTGGTTAGGGCTAAATCTGCACAGTCCTGGTCTGACCCTGATGTCAGATTCTGCAGTTTTCCCTCTGAGAGAAAGCTGATCACCGGGACTGAGTTGCTCTCCAACTTTTTTACACCATGTATTGAAATAAAGACCTGAAATGCAAAATGAGCAAACATCCCATGAGAGAGCTGGTGACCTGCATCAGGGGGCCAGATGACAGACAGTAATGTTCAGTGGCAGGCATGGGGGAAAGAGGTGGTAAGTCTTGGCAATGAATGGAACCTACAATACATCTAAAGTCTGTTAATGTTGTGCAAACCTTCCCTCCCTCCCACAAAATACTAAAGGATCAGGAACAGAAAAATAGGGGTCATAGTACCAGCTCTAAAGTCCTTTTGCTGCGGGCCTGATCTGTGTGTTCAGATTTTCTGGAGGAGGAAGTATTGCAAAAAGTCATAAAAGTGGGGAAGGAGGAGTCATGGAATCTGTTGCAATAATAAGCACTGGACTCTTCTGATAAACATCCCTGCTCTGGGCCAGAGTTTAGGAGCTGCTGTCTCTAGAGGTTGCTGTTACATCTGTGACACTTAACAGGTGAGGCTTATGGTAAGGGTGGAGCAGCTCCTCACCTGCCCTGGACAGAGGGCTGTTCCAATCCCACAGAGCCCACTGCAGCCAGCCAGCTGACCTGTGCAGCCCCTGTCTGAGACAGCCATGCCTCCTCCCCTTCTCCACACTGCAGCTTATAGGCTGTGGCGCCCCGGGAGCTGGCTGCAGAGCCTGCAACGAAGCCTCCCCCCAGGAGTGGGGCAGAAGGGGCTGGCAGCCCAGCTCCTGGATGGGCTTTGCTATGGGCTATATATCCGCAGCGTGTGTGGCCGTGTAATCAGTAAGATGTTTAGCAGTTACACGGTTACCTTTTTAAACAACTTTTGATGTTCCTACTGTGACTAGTAACTAGACTTACTGCGGAGGGAGAAAGCCAGTCAACTGTGGTGTGGCCAGGCCAGGAGTCACTGAATGTTATTAGCAAGAAACTTTTTAGAAAAACAACAACAAATCATCTAGGTGCCCTTAAAAGTTATTAAGTGGCCTGTATGAAAAATGGGTTCGGTGCTCAGCCCAATTCCCACTTGGTGGGCATCCACACCCCAAATACCATCTCCTTCATAGGGACTGAAGGGCGTTCTCCGCTTTGAGCCCAAGAGCTGCGTGGGTCGTATAGCGTGAACTCTCTACTCTCCTGTTAAGGCTGTCCCTTCCGGTATGGCTCAGGCAGCTGTCTGAGACACCTGTTCTCAGTGTGTACATATATAGATGGACCTTTCATCTCCAATGCTTTCTGCCTGGCAGCTTTTCTTAGTACTAAAATCACACTGACATTGAAAAGAAAGAAAATTGCAATTGACAGAATAATTGGATTTTTTCCAGCATTAGTTGGGTTAGTTAGCTAAGTCCCATTATAGGTATCTGGTAGAAATCCCATCCCTGAGCATGGCACTGCTAGCATTAACGAGAAAGGGTTGATTTGATCCTCCGCTAATTGGTGCTGTGTATCTTGGAAAATCAGCTCATGCATTGACAGATGTGTGCTGTGCCCTGAGAAGCATGCTTGAGCCCTCAGGGTGAGCAGGGTAATGCTGCGTGAACTCTGTGGCTATCAAAGGGGACATCTTGCCAGTGATCCAGAGGGCTGCCGCAAGGGATTGGTACAGCGCTAAACACTGCATTTTAGTAAGGCCAATGCTTCCATAAATTGAGCGAGAGCATCTGGTGCTGGGAGATTTCACAGCAGTGCTGGCAGCCTGCGGGCCTGCATCATGTTGCGGAGGCTGATTGGTGCAGAGATTGCAAGTGGCTGATTCTCTTTGTGACTTTGAAACATTATTATTATTTAATTGCATCCCAGCAATGCCTAATGTCTCCAGCCAGGACTGGGGGAACCCACTGTTCTGGGCATTGCACAGACCAAGAATAGAAAACAAACCCTGCTGCAAAGAATTTACACTCTTACCAACAAGACAAGCAGCAGAGTTCCAATTTTCCATGCACAGGCTAAGACTGCAACCTCAAGTTTTGACCTATAAACATGCACAGATGCATGTAATGGCATTGGAACAGTTTTTATAGTGGGGGTGTTAAGAGCTATTGAACAACACTGTAAACCCTGTAAATGATGGAAACCTCTTCAAGCCAATGGGGTGCAGCCATGCCCCCAGCACCTCTAGTTCCGCAGGCCTACGGGTACACACAAAACAATTTATCCCTTTGTTAGCCCCCCTTGCATCTTTCTAGCTGTCTCTTAGATCTTGTCTACACTGGCATGTTTTGTCACCAAAAACTGCCTTTGGTTGACAAAACGGTAAGAACATACACACGACAATGCAACTTTCTTTGGGAAAAACACCCAGTTTTGATATAAAAAAACTTCCACCCCTGCAAAAGACTTTTGTCTTTTCTCCTCCCTTTATTGTCAACCAAGAGTCAGCGTGGACTGGTATTGCTGAGAAAACTGGCTTCTGCCAGTATCCCACAAGACTGCCTTGATAGCTGTGCTCAGTGTTTTGTGATCTCTGCTGCCCTGCACCATGCGTCCCTCTCCTTTCAAAGTTCCGGAAAGTATCTGACAGCTGAGGGAGCTGCTCCACTTGGGGAACAAACAAAAAGAGCAAATCATTGGGATGCTCCCATTCTGCCCTGCTAGGAACACAGCAGCAGGCAGACTGCTGCTGCAGAGGGAAGGCTGGGGAATGTTCCCACCTACAGATTTCAGCTCGGCCCCATCTCTGTCACTGAGCAGAGGATTCCCTTTGCGGAGGGATCGTCCGGTTTTACAGCCAATCTGCCATTTGTGCAGCAGTAAGTGGCTGTGCTGCATCGGAGGAGCTGGTCCGTAGCCTTTCTGCATTGCAGTGCATTGGTGGATGTACAAAGTAGGGATGTTAAGGACTAGTCGACTATCCGATAAGCAAATGCTTATAGAGGCAGCAAAAGGGGGGAAGAAGAGGTACTTCAAAGGGGCAGCGCCACACAGCTGATCCCCGGCTCAGCTGTGCAGCGCTGTCCCTTTGAAATGCCGCCTCGGCATTTGAAAGGGACTGCGCTGCACAGCTGAGCGGGGGATCAGCTGTGTGGCTGCCCCTTTGAAACGCCAAGGCGGCGTTCAAAGGGTCAGCGCTGCACAGCTGAGGCCAGGATCAGCTGTGCGGCGCTGCCACGCATGGAGCCCGAGTTCAGCTGGGGACTCTCCTGCTGATCCCGGCTCCATGTGGCATTTCAAAGAAGCACGGCATGGAGCCTGGGGTCAGCGGGGCACTCTTGAGCTGCGCTGTTGCTTTGAAATGCACAAGAACAAGAGCCCCCGCTGGGGACTCTTATACATTTCAAAGCTGG